TGACTAATCTATGTAATGACTAAAGATTATCCATATGTATGCCTTGTATGCCAAAGTGCCTCAACATGTAAAATCAGAGAAATTAAGGGAAAATGGACATATTCTCAGGGGTGGATATCCAGGCATTTTCACCGCCTGGAAACCATCACGGCCGAAAACTCTCTTCAGCTGACGTTTCACAGCAGCTCGCACAGAGCCCATAGAAATTCATGTTACAGTGGTGCGCGACTTAGCAACTTAGAACGTTCTGTGATGTAGCTCCGCCCCCGAGGATACTCAAGAACCTCTTCTGAAAAATTGAAGAATGTTTTTTGCTTAACATTGTAACCATGTCAACCTTGTTGAAAAATTATCCAAAAGACAATTTTCATTCACTTTTTGCCAGATCGATTATGTTTTTTAAACATAATATTGCGAAATGTGTTGCGTCGTCACTGATTTTCATAAAACTTTAGGAATTAAGCCTTCATGATGTATACAACAAGATGTCTACTGAATATGATGTAAACTTGTGACTTGTTTTAACCAATCAAATACAGTTCATTTGAATGTAAAATCATGGTATGATATATATTAATGACAAATATTGAGATCAAGGTCACCCCTGTAATATAGTGTAATATGCCTGAAGAAGGCATGGACCACTTTCTCGTAAGGTGGCGTAATGCATGCGTACCTGATATGGGTTTCAACTTGCAAGCGATATATTGCACTTGTAGATGTACTAGTAGATATGACAAGATTTCTTTTTACTAAATACAAACAATGTATCAACTAACTGACATATTTGTATTTGTCAACCTTACAAAGGCTGATGTTTTTATTGCCCTACTGTCTCAATACTTCCCGGAAAGTGGTCTATTTAATATTTTTTTTGGTTCGTCGGACTTGTTTGAAATTTTCTACCTTTGTTTTGATATTGATTCAGTCTGCGGAAAAACCTTAAACAGAACCTCAACCTGGAAGTATGCATGATGATATATAAATGTTATTAATGTGATATATTAATGTTGAATGATTTCAGTAAATTATTGGATCATTTAGACACTGCATGTGGTCAAGATTCGTACAGTATGGAGCACGTCGTCGCCGACAAAGGATACATGGCCCAGCTGGTAGAAGTACAGCAAATGAGGGGTTCCAGCGGTGGAAATAAATTTCATCAGATGTTGAATAAATCACTGGAGAAAGATAAAAAAGGTATTTCTAAATAACAAGGAACAACTTAAAATATAAAGGATGAACCATTCAGAATGAAAGGTGGAAGGTTTAAAAGAAACACAATTTTAAACTGACTTTCCCGAAAAAGAAATTCAGACACAATGAACTTGCTTTTAGTCAAAATTTCACATTATTTACAAATTACTGCACCACTGCATCTTCTCGGATTTCAAATTATTATCTTTGAAAGAAATGACATAAAATATTGGAAATCACTGTTATATGTTGTGAAAGATAAACAAATGGATGCTCTGAATATTCAACTCTAAGGGTGTTTCATTCAGCATCATATATAACTGACTTTTCTAAAGAAGGAATTTAGTCAAAATGAAAAATATCTAAATATGGCGAGTGAAAAAAAAAACTTGTTTGAATTAGATGCTACTAAAATGATAAACTTTTTTTTGTTCTTCCCATCTCAGATAAAAACAAAGATGTTGAAATGAGTGAAGTTGATGTTAAAGAGAAAATTGTGACTAAAAAAGAATACATAGGTCTTCCGAGAGATGACAGCGATGCATGGCAGTTGTTAATTTTAAAGGTAATGTTGATGAGGGAAGATGATACATATATTAGTTTTAATAAATCCTGGTATTGTGTATTTATTTAATCTTCAATTGAAGCACATATAAATAAAAAATTGTAATTATTTGTTTGAATATTGAATATAATAGATGCTCTGCAATACTCCATAACACTGATTTTTTTTGAAATCCCTTGCATAATAATTGCCTGATTTGCATAAATTATTCAATTTTAGCTATTCCAAATCTATCTCAAGAACTATTGAACAAATTTCAATGAATCTTGATACATAGATACTTGATCTAACTAGATCTTAATTTAAATTGTTGCTTATTAAATATCTTATTTGCATAATACATGGCCAATTATAAGGTTTTCTTTCGGTATCGCAATAGATTTCTATTTAACTTCATACAGGGTGCCCTGATATAATCATCACACCGTATTACTCTATGCATATTGATTACCTAATTTGCATAATAATTTTCAGCCATTCCACTGATAGACAATCACTTTTATGTCATTGTTGACCAATTACCACTGTAACAACTAATTTGTATTGTTCAGAGATCTCTAAACCAGACAATTGCGGATTTGTGAGCTGCTAATCCGATCTACTTGGCAAGACAAGTGAAAGACTCTGTACAGATATAGTTACTGCGATCTCCTCAGTGTGGATCTTGTATGCTTTTCACATTTTTCTGCCTTGTCAATATGGCCAGCAGTAGATTATCTGTAGAGTTTTGGTCTCGGTATGGCTTGATTGACAGTTGGACAGCCTTCATAGATTACTATGCATCCCTTGCTTGATTGTTCAGACTTTTGACTCTCAACTGATTTTTATTTAAAATTTTCGGGAAGCTCATTGACTTTCTGAAATGGAACCGCCTATGTGCTGGCAGCAGGTTCCTAGGCAGTCTTCACACACATTATCCGAGAAAAAGAGAAAACTGGTATTGGAAGAAAGATCATTACCACTTCTAGTAGACCAAATTTCATGACTCAACAGAATGGATTAGCGACTCACAAACCCTTATTTGTCTCATATCTAAACAATACAAATTAATGTTAGTAACTAATAAACAATAAAACATTTTGCTGTTTCTCTAATTTAATCCATTTGTTATGTATCTTAGGTTTTCTGTTATTATTGACTTTCATTATGTGCTATGTATTAGATTGCTTTCACTGTTTGCATTTCAAACCCCACAGCTATATCAGCTGACTGACTTCTTGTTTTATACACTAATTTTAACTGTTTGTATTTCTTTTTTCTATTTTACTTTCCTAGTTATTTAATATTGATCAATATCACATGACTTCTCAAGATGAAAAACAAGTATTAAGAACAATACTCCAGGTATTTCACTTACTTATATATCCAATAAAAATAAAGCATTTTACTGGGACAAAATGACAATTCAGAAGTTATCTAGTCTAGTTATTTTTATTTTTTGATTCACAATTATTTCTTTATTTCTTTTCTTGAGGCATTGTCCAAGGAGATTTGTCAAGTCAGTAAAACCATTCCTAGTATTGGTGATGAAGTCCTGCAGTCCATGTTAACCATTTTACAGTCCTCATATGCAAATGAGTTTACCAATCGTCTACTTAACAAACGTCACCTATCGTGTCCAATCTTTAACCTACTACATAGAATACAGGTAATATTGGAACTGTTTTAGTAGACACCAAGTGGTGTTTGTCTCATTGACCTTTCTACTATCAGTGTTGACATTTGTAACCTTCCTCAAAATAGTCCCATTGACCTTTTCACTATCATTGTTGACATTTGTAACCTTTTTTAAATCTGCTTGTATCATTATTGATTATATTTCTACTTGTAACCCATCCACCGCCTCCTCCCCATCCACCCCCTCCTCCCCATCCATCGCCTCCTCCCCATCCACCCAACATTTTTGTTTGCACTGTTTCACAGGTTGCTGATAGAAACCTTAAGGTCACTTTGGTGATAGGAATAGTCAGGTCACCATAGTGATAGGAACATTCCAGTCACCATGGTGATAACAAACTTTTGGGATGCATCATTATTGTTGAATATCTTAAGTTTCAATTAAACAGAAATTTTGCAGCTTGAGCGTATACTATGTAGTATGTAGTAGAGAAAAGCTCACAGTAGTTTTGCTATGTATTCTTAGATCAATGTATTGAAAGAGAAGAGTTCTTGCACTCAATAAATTCTTCTTTTGTATTCATTTTTTTAAAGAAATCTGCTGATCATGAAAACGAAGCAGATGACAGATTTGACAGATTGATATCTGTAGTAATCAGCGTCTCAAAGTCTAAGGACAACATGTTTGCACGATATTTGAAGCCAAGTAAATCAACAAGCAAAGATGGTAAGTCACCAATTTTATCATATATGGTTGTATATGTAGTCCAATATTTGGATTATTGCTAGCCAAGGAAATAATCTGTAGTATTTGTGTTTGAAACTAATGATGAGACAAACAATTGATATTCAATGTAACAAGTTTGATGGATTATCATTAACTTTTTCAACACCAGATTTTCTTTCCCAAATTTTTCTGCATTTTTTTGGAATTCTTCAATATTTTTTAAAATGAACCCTAATTTTGGAGCCCAAAAGACAAATATTAGTCAATTTTCAGTTTTCACTAAAAACAATTTGGCTGTATTTTAATTTCCCATTCTTCTGAAGGAATATGCAGACTATAAACAGGACTATTCTGTGAATTTGTAATGAAAAGGGAGGGGTTGGGGTGGAGTTGGGGGGGACTGGTGGTGAGAAGGTTAAAGCCTATTATATTATACCAGTATATTGATGGTGTTAATCCATTGATTTGATTGGTCCAAACACAAAATTTGCATATGCAATCCATGGTATATTGGCTGATAATGCACGACTAAACCAAGTGGCCCTGGAACATGAATTGACTACAGGTTTAATACGGAAATACATAAAACCGGTATTATTTGATTTTTATGGAATATAGTGGTTCAATTTTGGAAGAATATTGAAAAAAATACTGAATTAAAAACATCTGAAAAGT